AGGTTTTCTTATGGGGGTGAACACAACGACTGGCTTTATAGGACCAACTCTTCTCCGTAGGCAGATGCACTTTAATATTACCACAGTCAAAAATTTTCGGGATGCCTGTGTCACTTGGCTTGTTCAGCTTAGAGAAGAAGAGGCTGAGGGGAGGAAAAGTTGTGATATTTTAATATTTTCTTCATTTTACAGTGCTTTTGCAGATATGTTGTAATCCATAAAAAAAGACAGATTTGTCCAGAAATATATTTATAATCTTTTATTTGGAAAAGTGCTTCACAGATCTTATCACATTTAAATGTTTTAACATATAATGATAACATTTTAATAATTAAAGAAGGGTGGAACTTTAGAACAGATTTTTGAAGGCAGCTTTGGAGGAATTTGAGGAATATGCCTGAAAAGTTATATACCAACTATTGGAACTGAACCTTTCTGCTTCAACATAAGAAACCTGACTCGAGAGGTGTGATATTAAAATACTACCCACATCACAGAAACTTATCAGAAAAACAGCTTATTTCAGCTTTGTATTTATGCAGAGGATCTTATCTATGTAATGTACTATATTTCACTAGAGAGATTTCTGTCAGCAGTAATTCATATATATATATATATATTTAGGCTGTGAATATCAACTATGAAATTCAGTTCTGGAAAGCTGCATTTTGTAGTAAATGCTCTCAAGACTCACCAATCTATCACGTTGTGTGGGAGATCTATGCTGAGACATAACACTGAACAGCAGAAGGTGGGGTTACTGAAGATGGATTTCAGATGGGTGGATTTAAACAAGTACCTTGTTGTGGGTTTGGTTTTCTCTGTATTTTTGAACTTTATCAATTTACTTAAGGGCTGTAGTTCTACAGATATTGGTAACCTTACAAGCTGCTGATAAATGTAAATGCATAAAGCACTCATGTTTTAAGCTAGGGTGAAAACCAAGCTTTTTCCTTGGAGGGCATCCCTTTGGGTCTGTGCTGTTACACTGGGTCTTCCTAGGCTGGCTTGCTCCTAATGGCCATTAGCTCCTCATATGGCCCATTCCAGTGGATTCCTTCCTTAACTGCAGTCACTTGGGAGGATTTCAACTCGCCACTGGAGGACCAGCCAGCAAAACAATACCTCTGCTTCGCTTTCCCAGGGGAGTCCTTAATGCTTAGCACGAAAAAAGTTGCAGCTCTTCACCTGTCCAGCAATGAAAGGCTCGACTTGGACTTGCACAGGCTTGTAGGGCAGGTGCAGTGGCACCAGGAGATGGACGGTCACTCCCTTGTTTCCCTTCAATTGAAGCCACGATTAATGATGGTGTTACCAGCTCCTAGAACAGGTTAGTTAATGGGAACTAACTGTGAGCTCGCTGAAGCAGCACTAATCTCACTGAAGTGTCTGCCTTTGATCCGCTCGTTCTCTCTCAGCAAGAGAGAAATAGCCACGGGACAGGAGTGCTTCGTTTGCAATCGTGTTAATTTTGCTTTAGGTTTGTCTTTAGCTGCTGGAGATTAATGAATCAAAATGGTGTTTAAATTTACAACCAGTTCTCTTCTGATCGCTTGGCAGTATTATTTCTGGTTGTGTTCTACTTTGATTGCCTGAGCTGGGTCATCCAGAGGACTCTGCTGTTCTGCCATCTGAGGGGTGGGGTACAGCCACAAACGTCTGGGAAACAGGGAGGCAGCAGAGGGTGTCGAGGATCTTTTGCTTTTCCAGCCATTTCCAAAGCTGTGTATTTGTTGCACCCACGTCCAAATCCATCGTCTGCCTTTCCTCTGGGCTCATTTTTGCCCCTACAACAATCTTCTCTGACCTCTGATTCCACCAACATGCCTCAGATGTGGGGGACAGTATGTTTGGGATACTCATTTAATGGGAAGTGAAGACAGGACCCGTGATGCTTGACAGTTTAACATCAGCAGGGTCTGCTAACATTTGGATAAGCAGGTGGCACAGGAAATCCTAGGTTTGACTATAAGGAGAAACCTTGGGTGGTGAAGTGTTTGAATCTCCCATAGGCAACCTAAATAGATAGGTTCTGTAAAGATTTGATTTGAACTCTACCCTCCAAAAAAGGCATTATGTGCATGAAATTCTTTGCTGTTGCAGCTTACCTTTAATGAGTTTCCCTCCGGGGAGGAAAATGGAGTGAAAGGTGCACTTGTAATTTAAGATTATTTTTCTAGAACAAGAACAGTGATCTCTGCTGGCTACACCTGAAAAAGAAAAGAAAAATATTACGTAGTAGGTGTTGGGTCAGAAAATCTCTTGGGTCAGAAATAGTCGCCAGGAAGATATTGTCCAAATTTACTGGGGTATACCCCTTGTAGCTTTTTTTTTTTTCCTTACCATACTACCTTCATTTTACAGGTAATATTTATTTTACAGGGGTACTGAAGAGGTGTAACTTATTATTGTTGAAAAACAGTTTTCTCTGATCTGAATGGAGATTTCTACAGATAAATTACTTAATGAACAGTTTTACTTAGAGAATACACACATATTTTTTTTTTCTTGATAGAGGAAGAGAACAAACCTGTTTAATATTTGGATTTTTCTTCTATGATGGGGACCCAAGTCCTTGGGCAGCTGATGGTGTGTGACATGGGTTTTCTAGTTCCATTATAGTTGGAACGTGGCTGTGAGCCTGTTTCTGAGCATTAAAGCCTGATGCTAATACCTCTGATGCACTGTCTCTCATCATGTTGAGGAGTCTTCCTTGGCATGAATTCATTAGTTTCATGCAGAGATCGTATATAATTCTGATTGCAGCTTGCAGGGAAACTTTGAAGAGGGGAGTGGATACTGGTAATTACTGAAACACCTCCGTTCTGTGTGTGAACAGGGAGAAATTTTCATATCCCTTAACCTTGGAGTAAAACCTCGTTGAAGTTTTTATTTTTCCTTGCCTTTTTGTGTGATAGTGTTAGAGGTTCAACTCCTGTCAAAAAAAGAGTGAATTTGATTATGAACTTGAGCCCACAGCAAGGAACTCCCAACTGACCACCTTCATCCTGTGCTTGAGGAGGCAGAGTTTCACCTCTTCAGCTGCCAAGGTTTTTGGGGAGGTTGTGTAGGTGTGCTTCGTTTCCACCAGTTCTTGAAATTGCCCACTGTTTGAAGGGAAGCAAAACTAACAGAAAGCAATTAATAAATCATTCTGCTCCTGTGTAAAACACAAATTTTACTGATCCTTTTGATAATTGTTCCCAGGACCTATTTTCCCACGGTGTGTGTTTCCCATATTATTTATAGTGAAATGAGGAGGGAGAAAATGGAGGGTGAAGACACAGTATTGATTTTCTCTGTGAACTTACTTCTGTTTTGGGCTTCCCATTAATATTAGGTGTATTTGTGGTGTTTTTCCTGGGTAATTATGAAGGGGCAACTTATGGGGATTACTTGAACCATATTACAGAATGATGAAGGGATAAGAGCTTAGAAAAAATAGTGTAACATAAATACTGGTTTGGCTTTTCTGCTGCACTTAGACCTCCAAATTTCGAGGGGGAAAAATATTTAAACTTAACCAAAGGTACTGCCATATTCTTCTGAAGGAAAAGTATAATTTACAGTGGCTGGAGAGGAACAGGAAAAGAGGAGCAACAGACAATAACTAGAGCTTAACTTCTGTAAGAGGGTTTTCTGATTTTGGCACTTGTATCCAGTTTGGTGCATTGTTCACAGGGCTTCTTTGAAGTTGATTAAGTAAACCACAGGTAATTGTTCTTTTTTGTTTGAAGAGTTGTCTCATCAGGGAATTGGTAGGCGCAAGGGAAGCACGGAAATGATGCTGATTTTCTCATAACTAAGTCTTTAAAAAACCCAAAAATTAAGGGGGAAAAAAAAAGAGATGAAGCAAAGGAGAGAGCGACGAGTAATGGGCTGAAAAACTGGCAAATAAACATATAGGACAAAATCAATATTTCATACAAATATGCAAGTGCTTCCATTCACATTAAATTTTTTAACACATCTGTTACGTATTCTCTCAGGTAAAAATTGGGTGAGAGAACAGAAAGCAAGAGACAAACAAATGAACAGTGGAAAAGATGTGTGTGATGTGCATGAAAACTGCTTGTTAATAAGGCAGTTCAAGGGCTGCCATCAGGAATGCAGCACCTGGGATGGATATTCCAGTGGGTGGGAGAAACGCCGAAATATTTTTGAGCCCCTCAAAAATCAGGGTTCAATCTTGGGTGCATCAAATCTACTAAAATACAAAGGGTTTCTAGGTGGTTTAAACACAACTCACTCCTGTTTAAAGTTTTCTTTATGCTGTAAGAAAAGAAGAAAATGGCAGTTGTGCAAATAAGCCCACAGTCTATATGAGCTCACAAATTCTTACTGGTAATCCAGCAGTCACATTTCTGTCTTTATTGTACTTCCATCCACCTGGTTTTTCTTAAATAATATATATTTGATCCTTTTTCTGTTAACTTCCAGACTAAAGTGAAATTTTTATTTTTTGCTTGCTGTTTGCAGCAGTGTAATAAAGGGGTTGTGTTCACAGGGAAGAATGTGAAGATTTCAGATGGTACTGGGTTCTTGTTTTCTGGGATTATTGGAGATTGATTCACTAGGAATTTGTTGCCAGATAAGTTTTCCATCTTTAAAGCACCCTGTTTTCCCTGAGGAGCTCTTATTTAATTGATGATAACTAGATATAGTAACTGCTTTCTGACTCAGTTCACCCCTCAAAGAGAAAGTCTCTAGGTGTTCTTTGCTATTTTGTACAGGAGTACTTAATTATTCCAGAGATTTAAGAAACAATGCTACCTTATGCAAGGTTGCTTTTAATTATGCTCTTCTCATCTGCCAGACTTTGGGGATATTTTACCATAGTGTGAAGCCAGGGAGAAGCAGGAGTTCAAATTTGTACTTTAGTCTTTGCAGAGTGCTGGTTGTTTGCACAGGTGATTCAGCAAAGTAAAGCTAAGAATTAAAGTTACCCAGCTAAAACCATACACATCTTGAGAAATGATTTTGGTCACATTGACGTGGCCATGACAACACACAAAAATTTGGAAATGGAGGGGAATGTTCAGTCCCAGCTGTTGGGAAGTGGAGGGAATAACTGTGAATTTGATACTTGGCACATCTGTGCAAGTATCCTTTTTGTTGAACTGCTCGTTCCTCCCCCCTGAGGGATGACCAGAAAATTCTTGTATTTCTGTGGACTGTTGTGTGATGCATTTGAGTAATAAAACTGAATATGCTCTGTCTGGATTAATACAACTGGTTGCTGTAATTGCAGAAAGCAACGGGTTTCTGTTAAACTGAGCTTGCTGGAACCATCATCTTAACACTTGAGTTAGATTTCGGTGACTGAAACACTGTGTTTGTCCCTCTTCAGTGTGAGGCTCTTGAAATTATTGATTCCTGTATAAACTTTAGGCTCCAGCAGGGATTTGTAGTGGGTGTGTGATCCTTCCACACGTTTCACCCTGTGTGAAGGGGACTCTGCTGTGACTCTCCACGAGCTCTAACCCGGTTTCTTTTCCGTGTGCCCCTCTTGGCTATGCCATGTATCTTCCAGGTCCCCTGCCTGAGGAGCACAGTTAGGGAAGAGCTCAGCTCTGAAGCTCTGAGAGCTTCTGGCAACAAAACCACGGTGATCCCACTGTGTGAGAATTGTCCTCGGTGTGGCACCAACACGAGCGCAACTGTATCTATGGATTGTCTGGTTTTGCTTTAGGATTTCTTTCAGTGCCCACAGTTTCTTGAGGCAACGACCAGGAAGTAAAATTAATTTTTTGAGGCATAAATAATGTGATGAGGCATTAAGGTGTTTACGTGGTGTGTGTGTTCTCCACCTCTCATTAGTCATGGCTGTGGAAGAACCTAGTTGCCAAATATTTGATTCATAACCAGGCTGTGCAAATCTTGTTATCACGTAACAGTATGAGGTAGAACGTAAATTCTGAGTTGAGGTCTCTCCTAAAGGCTGGGTCTGAGGTGATAACTGTTATCCTGCAGCTCAGCATCTCGGTATTTATTTTTACTCATGTAGAAATCATCTGTATTTTTCACTAACGTGCCTAGACTGCTATACCTCTGTCCTGGGACTGCAACTTCATAGATTGATTATTTTTTTTCCCTTCTTTAAACTACATATGAATTCATTTCGTTTATCCTTTCATGTAGCCCATCAATGAGGCACGTAGGAAGATAAAAGTATTAATTACCTGCAACTATGAAGACTGAGAGTAAAGAGGTTTTCATATTGCTGGTTTCATACTGTAATTAGCAGCATCCAAGAGTGCAGAACTTGAAAAAGATTAGAAAAGAAACCTCAGTGCTCTTCAGCCTTTGCCTTCAGCCCTGCAGCTTTCCAAAAAGTATACAGTAGATTTTCAGTCTAGTGGATATTTCTTAGCTGGCAACAGATAAAAGCCTTCAGCTTCCTGGGAGAGGACCAGAGCATGGAAAAAGCTGGTTGCATAGTCACTGGTGGAATCCCTTTAATACTGGCTGGGTGATCTTGAGAATTTTTAAAATAACAGTGAGGAGAATCTAATTTCAGTGAAGCAGAGTTCACTCTTGATAAAGGGCCTTCCAGAAACTCGTTCTTTGTAACTATAGAAACTCCTAAATTTTCTAATCTTTGATGGAGAATGAGAACAGACTTTGCTGAGTTCTCAGTAAATCCCAGAGCTGATAGTGAATGCTTAACACACTGAATATAGTAGGAAAGAGGCTCTTTGGAACTTGCTTCCAGTAAAACATTCTCTAAATCAGAGTAATATCCTCACTAAGCTGCTTAATAATGAAAACGGTGGTCAGAGGAATGTAGTGGTGAATGTCCTTGGAGGTGGGGAGAAAAAGGCTGGAGCAATGTAAGTTAAATTTCTGCAGTGAGTGATTATTATCTCTGATCACAGCCCTCTTTTAGGAAATCAGAATCAAAACCAAGTGTACTTCTTTTGCACTTAAAGAAGGAAACAAAACTTGTGGTAGCACTGAACAGGAGTGGAAACAATACAGACTGAGTGCTAGGGAGCCAAATAAAAACCTGTATAATGGAAGGAAGATGAAAGACTACTTTAAATCTACTACTTTTAAATCATAAATCTCTGATTTAAAGATAAGTGTGTGGTGAAAGTCTCTAAAACAGTGAGCACTACTTAAATTTGAACAGGATTTGGTATGGAGTCAAATTCAGGTGGAAGTGGTACATCTTGAACCCAAACTAGTTCTTCCAATTCTGATAGAAAACTTGTTGCTTCTCCTTTAGCTTTTGTCAAATGTGAAGGAAAAATAAAAAAAGTGGAGTGGTGGGGAAGACTTTTTTGAGGGTGCTTTTGAGTTTTCATGTAAGGGGATCTTTGTTTATTTTGGAACCTTCCCCTCCTGTAGGTAACATGCTTCGGAATGTTTGTAAAGGAATTTAGGCAGCAAAACAGGGTTTAAAAATACCACTGTGAGCTAAGTCATATCACCCTAAAGTAAATAATGAGTGATAAAGCACGACAAGGTATTCAGAGTGACTGTTCCTAAACAGTACATTTAAACAGTTGGTTTCCTGTTCTTCGTGTTGCTGATTTTACAGACCTTGTCTCTGGAAAAACTGTGAGCCGGAGAAAATCTGCACACGTCATCAAACTCGCACAGCTTAATTGCAGCCACCTCCAGAACCTCTGTGAAGACTGGAATTTTTAAATGGGCAAGGCCCCTGCCAGGGGTGAATGCCACTAATCCAACGTATGAAAATTTGGTTTGCAGCAATATTGCTTGAGAACGCTGAAGTAGTGGAGAGGAGGCTCATCAAAGAGGGAAGAATAGAATGTGAATGCAGTCTCTTAACGTTTTTCAAGGAGCTGCATGGGTAGTTTAGACACACCATGATTCTTTTATTTAAGATGATTAAGCATTAATAGGAGATATGTGGCTAAATACCCATGCAGGTCTTTTATAATCCAAATATCATATTTTCACAAGCCCCGGTGACTCCAATAAGCACTTGAAACCCAGGAACTCAGTGCTGTTAGAGAACTTGTCCAACGGTGCAAAAGCAAAACCTGAAATTTGAAATCACTCAAACTGTTTTTTTCACTAATGCAGAAAGAATCTTTCTTTCTCTCATGAAAGACTTCTATTTTTTCAGGAGTATACAGCAGAACTTTATCGTATTTTTGCTTTTACAGCTGTAAATTACCTTTGTTTTCATTTTTTTTAACTTCTTTATTTGGACAGGTAAAAGGTTTTCTCCCAGGTTTGGTCTGAGATTTCTCCCCAGGCTGTAATTCCAATTGTTATTTTGTGCTGCTGTCTCAACACTTGTGTGCTTTTTTCAGATGAACGAGATATTTTGCCATTGTCATGACTGTTGTGTATTGTTAATTAAACACCAATGCAATTAAGCACCTTTGTCTTTCAGGGAAGGAGGCTACACTTTCATTTAATATTTAGTTATTATGTAGGTTGAAGAGTGTACTCATCTCTGTTTTCCAGGATCACACAGGTGCAAGGATGTGCCTCTCAGCTGAGAAACAGAACCCGTGATATGGACTAAGATTCATAAACCAGGACTTAAGTCAGTGCTAACTCTCAGTGAGAGATTGGGGCTGGCACTGCTCTCTGCAGGTGACTTGCTCACATAATATTTATCTCTTTAAGCCTGTCAGTCCCTCAGACAGTCCCTGAGGTCAGGGCACACTCAGCCTCTGTGCAGCTCTTCTGCTTTTGCTGCCCAAGATGTGGGTGAGAAAAACCATGAACTGGTGTCTGCCTGGTGCCTTCTACCATGTCATTTGTCTCTTTTGGAAATACCTTACTTGATACATTCTATGATTTCATTTGTGGGTTTCTTCCCTTTTTGTTTTTCAGGCTGAGATAACAGCCCTCTGGAAGAGCTGGAAAATACACAAGTAAGTTTTTAATCTTTTTTGTTTGTTTTTTTTTTCTTCCTCCTCTGAGTCACCTTTCAGAAGAGACGTCATTCACTGCTGTCTAGAGAGCTCAGAGGAGCTTCCTAACACTGCAATTTAAATTGCTTAAGATCAGGTGGTGAGTTTTTCAGAGTCTTGGAAGAATCTTGGAAGAATTTCAAGGTGTGTTTCAGGTTTCACTGCAGTGAAAGTGCATCCAAACTTTCCATCAGCATCAGTACGAAAGCCTTGAGGTTTGGGTGGGGAATCTAGAGAAATATGTATTTGGTTTTTGTATTAGCCCTTGTGTATCTAGAGGCAGAAGAGTAACAGAGTCTATTTTTAATTGACCTTAATATCATGTTTTGGCCAGCATGTGCAGTTACAGATGGCAGGTGATCTGGATTTGGGTTGTGCCTTCAGCAGGGGCAAACAAGCACAGAGCTTGTGCAGACACCTGTGTAGCTTTCCATCCATTAATATGAGTTTTAATTTTTACAAAGTGTGTACCTCTTGTCTGAAAATTTATCGTGGCAGATGTTCTCCTCCCAAAGCGCATTTTTTTCTGCTGCCCCCTTAACCAAAAAAAAAACCCCTCTCCATAATCTTTTAAAAAGAATAATGAACAAAGGATTCACCCGTTGTCTGTAGGGAACTGAATGTAATACTTGCCATCCAGAGGGTTGATTTTTCCTGGGGAAAAATACAGGCTACTACTCCCTCTCCTGGCCTCACAGGGGAAATATATGGAATAGTCAAAAGGGGGCATTCTTGCTTTTTCAGACAAATGAAAAATAAGTCATAAAATAAGTGCATAGTTAGACCTGTCATTTAGGTAGAGCAGGAATTGCTCAAGCTGACAGTCTTCAGCCAAAGCAAATATAGCAGATGGAATATTAAATATCAGAAGTGATTTGCAGACTAATTTAATCTCTTGCTTTGTGGACAGAGGTTTTATCTACCTCACCTAAGGTTTACCCAAAGCTTTTATTAATTGATGAAAATGCCCATTGCACAGTTGCACGTGCTCTTTCTGTGTATAAGAATATATATATCCCCTCCCATTGTCAGTTAAATCTCACAGAACAGTTCTTTATATCTGTGAAAATACAAATGTGACAGTCCTGCCAGTCTGCATAAGGATTTGCTGCGACTGATTTTGCATTTTGAGCTTTTTTGCACTTTGGGCATATCTGGAGTTGCCAAGTAATGGTTGAACAAGCTGTGTACTATCATAAAAATCTCTTGAAAGGGCAAATCCTTATGTACAGCCAGTCTGGATGTACCTGGAGAAATTCCTGATGTCTTGTGTAGCCCTTTCTCATGGAAACAAGAGCAAATCCAGCTCTGACTGTGCAAATAGAGAATGATGTTGGTTTTAAGCTTCTGTGTTAAGAGATGTCAACAAAGGTGTTCACTTCTCAGTTTACCTGAGCACTTATAGATTAAACCTGTTCACAAACACATTCAAACTAGTGCTGATAACTTCTGTTTATAATAAAATTTTACTCTGCTCTCAGGTATTTCTAATACTTTTATTTGCTCTGGTGTTAGGGTACTTATGATTAGGTAAAGGCTTCCTATACATCATAATTAATATGGTTTCCCATTAATATTCTGGATCAACCTGGGGAAATCAAACTTATGACCTGGATTTTTAAAAAAAAAATCACATCTGAAGCTACATATTGTGTTCTCTTGCCTAAAGAATCATTTTCTTTGTAATTCAGTTTACCTAGCTAATGCAAATAAAAAATTGCTTCTGCCCTAACATTACAGAATATTTTAGCTACCATGTTTTAAAAAGATGCTGCTTTTTCAACCAGTATTGTTTTTTTACAGTGCAACATCTAATTTAAGTGCAGTGTTAGGGTCGGGATAAAGATGTTTCTCATCTTGAAGGTATAATTAGAACACACCAGCACAACAAGCAGGTTCAGGGGTCAGATCTTTTAAAGCTTTAGAGCAGATGTAGAGAGGGCCATAAAATATTTTAGTTTTCAAACAAAAAGTACCCATGATCTATCTTCATCACCTATTACCTCCCTTGGTCATTTATACTTGGGGAAAGCAGGTGCAAGGCACTACCAGATACTCACTCAAAAGTTATAAGCAACCACTAAGCTGCAGAGGAATAGGCAGGGTTTACACTGACAGTTTTCCCATGGTAGTGGAAGGAAAATATTGGCCTCAAGCACTTGCTTCCCAGCTCCTCATATCTCTACTTAGCCAGGGTGGGAGGTTAATTTGGAGTTAACTATTTGCATCAAATACTCGAGTTTGTTATGCTTAAATCTGCTAATGTAGACATATCCTTACAGAGACTGGGTATTTGGAAAAGATTAAGTTGAAATGAAAGGAAGGAATAGAAGAAAGGACTACAGAAAAGCAGTTGTAAGTGTAAGGAAGAAGGGATACTAAATATAACCTGTACTCATTGTCAACTTGAAAATAAAACATGGAGAGGTAAAAGAATTGCAATTAATCCCTTATGCAAAACAATGGCAAAAGGATTAAAAAAAAAAAAAAAGGTTAAAAGATGGAGAGAAAACAGAAACAAAATGGTCAGTCTGCTCCTTAGGTGACTGACTACACATTTATTGGGATTCTGCCTGCAAACATATTCTTCCCTACATGTACTGTGACCATTTTTAGGATTGCTGACTGAGGCAGGGTGTGGGGGTGTGTAACTCTTCCCTTTCCTCCTGTTTTGTACTGCTTTGCACCACGTGGAGCTCCTTAGGGTCAACTGCAGCAGGATTTAAAAAGACAGGTTGCCATTCTGTTTTGGGATAGATAATGCCCAAATGCATATTTTGAGCAAGTTTGTAGGTCTCTGAAGATAGGTGGTAAGTTATTACTAATACTTTTTTGTTAGGAATCTATTATTAGTGGTATGTTGGAAGATAAAATGCTGTAGTAGAAATGTGGTTTTATACAGAATTTGTTTAGTGGTATGTTTGTGTAGGTGGGAAGGAGTGTAAGATACTTGACTGTAAAACTTGGGGGGAAAAAAGCCAAAAAACCAACTATGAGTTATCTTCATGTTCCATAAAGTAGAAATCAGGCAATGAATTACTTATAGGCTACTCCAAAAATGTCTGTATGAGAATAAAGGAAATTATTCTCAAACTTGTCTGTTGCAAGTCAGACCTGATTTCAAAATACAGAGGAGGAGGGAAGGAACTTGCTGTGACTGTAGGAAGATATTGGACAGGCCATAAGCTGGGAGGGTAAAGGGCCATACAAACAACCAAGAATCATCATTTGTGGAATAGCATGGAGTGAGCTCTAAATCCTGGAGCTCTGCTAGCAATGATAAATTTAAGAAACCAAAGTTATTTTGGTAAGACTTTTATTGCACAACAAAAGATCTGTGTTGTTCCAAACATTGCTTAAAGCTCTGGGGAAGAAAAAACAAACAAAATCCCAACCAAAACCTGGTGAAACTGAAAAGTATCTAAAACTCCACAGCACTAGGAAGGATATAACAGCAATCAAGTGTTGCATAAACACAGGGACAGGAACAAACTTGGATATGAAATAAGTGATCTGAGGATGTGCTACAGCCTGACCCAGGCAAATGGTTTAGTGAGGGGCCCAGCTCATGTTTAACCAGATGGGTTGGTGAGAACTCAGTGTTGCACCTGCCTGGTCCTTTAGCTGATTTCATAGGGAAGTTGTCAGGATGATGTTTGTTCCTGTGTTATGTCAACACCACGCTCTGGCTAATCCAGGTGAGGGACACAAGTGTGATTCCTTTAATGTTAATGAAGTCTGTGTCTGTCCACTTTTAGAGGAAACTGGATACACATCACTGCTAACATTTTCCTATTTTAACTTGAGCCAACAATGAGGCTCTTTCAGGGTTTCTTTTAGAGTCTTTTCAGCTTGTGGTAATTTTAAGGTTCCAACAGAAGCTTCAGATGCCTGACTCTTACTTGTCTTAACCTCTCTTTGGACAGTACAAGGGAAAACTTTCCTCAGCAGTGTAATGGACTTCAGCTTAAGTAAGAACCAGCATGAGAGGTTTCAGTACTGAATTTGAACTTGATTATGTACAAGGTTCAAATTTGGCATCAAAACTGTCAAGATTTGCATGTCAATTTGGCTGTGAGTTTCCACATGGGCTGCTGGACGTACTTCGTTTGAAACTATGCTTCTGTAGACTTTGTTTTCATTTAAAGGCAGGGGGAATCAAAGGTCCTTGAGAGGAAAAGCCAGGGAGCTCTTAAAGTCAACTTTGAGCTTGTCCCTGCAGCAGATGTAGTGCAAAATTTTATTAGAGACAGAACTTTATTAGGAGAATTGAGAAGTTAAGCTGATCTGTTCTTCAAACTCCCCCACAGAAACCGCTCACCCGATTTCACAAGAACACGAACAGAAGCCAAAATTTCGTGATCAAGCATCTACTTGCAGGTAAGAGCAAAACTCCAAAGGATTCTTGGCATTTGGCAAAATGCAGACCAAGTTCTGGATCTCTTGGCTTAGCTTTGTCTTCAAATATTAATGCAAGTGTTATATTAAGAAACCAAGCAGTGAAGTGCTTTTGGAGGCAGTGCTGGGTGGCAAGAAAAAGTAAATCAGAGCAGAATGATAAATAATGTGTTGGGCTCTGAAAGGAGAGGTGTCATCTTGTTCCTGACACACTGTCGAGATGATGTTTTACTGCTTTGACTTTGTGTGTTGGAGAACACACAACAGTGACTGAGTAAGTGGTTTTATAGGGAATCTCACCCATGTTACAATAAACGGAGCTCAGAGATAACATATCTTTTTGTGCTTTTACGCTTTTTGGGATGATAACTGTGAAAAATTACCTAGTGAGGGTTAGCAAGCTGTACCTGTGGCCATTTTCTCATGACCCCTGAGTGATAAAGTTTACTATCTTGGATCATGATGTGTTGTCAAATGACAGGTTTGCCTGTCTGGCCAACGGAAAGTAATTGAGGAGTGTTATGGTTTTACAATCTGTGTTTCACCAAATTTGTAGCTTTTTGAGCTGTTAGACCTGAACAAAATAGGTCAATGTTGACAGAATAAGGTTGGCTCTCACTTTTCTTCAGTTTTTGACTAGTTCTGTGTGTCTCTTACCTGAAAGCAGCATGTGGGAAGCAGAGTTTTCTGGAGGTATTGCTGTTATAATTTCACTTACAGCTCAAGATTTTTTTTTTTTCGTGTTATGGCACAGTGGGCTTTTTTGGTCACTATTCTAAAATCTGCACCTTGAATTCCCAAATCTGCATGAATTTAAATGAGTAATCTGATAGGCTCCTGTAAGTGGGGAATTGGGAAATCCCTACCAGCTGGAACTGCTTAACAGTGGAAGCTTTGCTGACCTCAGATTAGCTGTCCACAAGCCATTTATTTTTATAGGTACGAGGCCAAGAGATGAAGCAGCAAAATTGCTTCTCTTACTCTATTTCTCACCCCTTTCTCTTCAGTAGTAGCTCCCTCTGCTGCACCCACATTTTGTCCTGAAGTACATTAGTAATTGAAAAAAGCTAAAGTGTTGTGTGGGTTTTTTTTAATACTCCTTTAGATCTTGAGACAGAAGAATCTGTGTAAACAGATCCTTATGGCTGAGATAATCTGAAGCTGTTCAATACCTGCTGACTGTGGCTATTTTTAGTCACTAGATACACTGAAAATGACTATTTTTAGGTAGCTTCCTCCTCAAATACCTTTATTTGCATGAAATGTCTTATCTTGCCACTTTGAGTTTGTGTAAGTCAAATAACAAATGCGTAGCAAAGTATAAAATCAGGCTGGTTTACATCCATTACACTTTTCCAGGTAAGCTATGTCTGGAAAGAAGAAAGATTAAAGAAAAAGGGTTGGTTTGGCTACAGATGACTTTATTATATATATAGATGACTTTATTTATTTAAACTCCTGTAGGGAGAGAGACTCAACAGTGACACCAAACACTAAATGATACCTTTGTGGTGGTGCTCTGTTCAGGGGAACAACTTGTAAACAGACTTCACTGTAACCCCAGAACAACACAAGCTCTGGAAATCCTACACTTCCATGTCCTGGAGGAAACAGAGACCTGTATTTTTGCCATTGCAGACATTTAATGATCAAACACAAAGTGGGGAAAAAGCTTCCCTTTGAGATGTTGGATGAGCTGAAGAACCCCGAGATGAAAATGTGTTTTTTTCAGGTTAGATGTGGTGTAACTGTGGGAGCACAGCTGGGAGGGGATTGGAGCCCAATATGCATGAAACAGTGGAAAAAGGTGTAAATGAGCTGGAAAAATTGGGATTGGTGGAACTAGTGTGGGGACCAAATGCTTCTCCTTTGCATCAAGTACCTCAACGCCTTGGTACAGCCTCTGTGTATAAATGCTAAAGGCAAATGAAGCAATTAAAATATCGTAGGAATTAGGAACCAAAATTCCAAAGTAAATGAAGTGCTTAAATATATGCAAGAAATTAAAACATTGTTATATCAGCAGACCACATACTAGACTGAAGAAGCTTTGTAAAGGAAAACATTTATGGGAGGAAAGTATGTAATGGACAAAATTTAAGCTTAGAACCTGTGTTTGAATGTTTTGGTGTGAAAGAAAAAATGTTTTGCTACATTAGGGAAATACTTTTCTTTTTTTACTTATGTCTGATATTAAGAAAAGGTGTTGACAGGGTACTAAGGGGTGCTTTTCCCAGCCTGCAGTTATCATGGATTTTCTTAAATTAAAAAACCCCTGCAATCAAACAGCAAAAAAAAAAAAATTCCCAACTTGAAGCAACTCTGAGGGATTTGCTAACTTATTGTTTTGCCCCAAGGCAGGATCAATTTTACCTGTTATTCAAGACAGAAGTTTGTCTGACTTCCCTTTAAAAACCCTTGTGATAAAAACTAAGTCTTCCTGCTTTCATCTGTTCACATATTTGATTATCTTTACCTGATATATAGGAATTAAGCCCATTATTTTGGCTCCTCTGTGTAAAATAAGTAGTGAATGTTTGCAGCAGCCTTTTGCAGAAAATAATTCCGCTTTTGCAGAGTGGAAGGCTCTTACAGTGTCCCTTCAGGTGGGCTTTGTTACACAAAACAACTTTCCTAAAGGCAGTCAAATGTAGCACAGATAGAAAAATACAGGGTAGGTGATACTTGAAGCCAAACCCAAATGCCAGAGGAGAATCACTCGCCCTGTTTGCTTCTCAAATCTTTGTTTCTTGAGGCAAGAGTCTTTCCTCCTAAATATTGCCTGAGGGGACAGAAGTGATTTTGTGGCGAAAATGAAAGGATTCAGCTTCTCCCCAATGTGTGGGGGGGAGTTTTTCAGGGTGTGTAGCAAGTGGCTCTTTGCTGTGGTTGGACAGGGCACAATCCTGTGTATATTCCACATCCACAGTAGAGAGGGGAGGGATTGGAGAAGTTGGTTCATGAGCTACTCTGTCAAATAGCCTGAGAGACACCTTGCCTCCCCTAAGACTTCCCCATCTGAATCTCATCTATCAAAGGGAAGTCTGATATTTTCTAGGATGCCACAATTTGTGGAAATGAATGAGCTTAATTAAGCTCCTGGGAAGCTCTCACAAATGGCTGGAGATAAATATCAAATGGGGTCAATACACTGTCATGAGACTTTTGGCTTGTTACTGGATGTTCCCATCCCTTTGGGACGGCCTAGAGGGCAAGGACTTCTGAGAAGATTGGGGTCGGCCATGATTAAAGCTATATTTAGAAACTTTTTTAATTGCATGCACTTCAGGCACATTAGAGCTGCCTGATTTTTTTTTTTTTTTTTTTATGGAATAGTTTTCTGTTAGAAAACGCAGTTTAGTGGAAATCAGAATGACATAGTCCCATGAAAAAATCTGACAGAAAGGGAAAATTAACTCAATTTTTCACTGTTTTAGTAATGGGAGTGTGTCATTTGGACAATGTGTGCCTTATTGAACTATTTGACATGTTTTATGTTGGAACTCAGAGCAGAGTTGAAGTAATTGTACTGTTCTACCAAGATATGAGTTTGGGTGTACAATAGCTATTATCTACTATGCAATAATTTGTTTACAATAATTCAGATTAAAATGGAACATGTGGGTAGCCAGCACCAAATTTTTCACCAAATGTCACTGCCATAGAATGTTATTTTATTCTAATAAAATAAAAATTAGACTCTAGATTAGATTCTAATACAAATTAGAAGTGCTGAAATTTCACAGAAAATAAAGTTCTCCTCAGCTTGAGGGACACTTGGCAGAATAAAAAACAAATCCTGATATAAATCAAATCTATTGGGGATAAAAGTATTACCAGTCCTGTAAGTCTGGAATGAAAGTGGTGGTCCCAGATTTTTCTACAGGCTACATGAAACATTGGAAAGTACCCACTGAACACAAAAAGTGACCAATAATAGAAATAATAGAAATCAGAGGGCTGGGAAAAGACAATGTAGGAACACAGACTGGATAAAATGATTTGGAAAGCCAGCATCAGGGAGAACCTGGCCTGCTGTTCCTGAGGGGTGGCTGGAAAGCAGGAGAGGCATGAAGAAATAACCAAGGAGGGGGGGGGAAATATTTTAATATGAGGCCCTGGATATACCTCAACATTGTTTGTATGGATCAAGCACACCAAGAAATTTCTTTTGAGCAAAATTGAACTCTTGTGCTTACAACTTGCCTGATCACATCCCTTGCAAGGGGGGGGGCATGGAAAAATGTTCGTTGGGGTGATGGGATCAGCTGCCGGAATTGCTGCCGCAACCTGCGGTGGGTTGGTTGGCAACAAATCCATTTGCACTTATTTGGTGGGGAAGAAGGGTTCCTGCTGCCCATCAGTTTGGAGTTCACTTTGAGTGGTAGGTGAACTGCACAAGACTGAAAATCAAAGGACCAGTTCATGATTACAGTGTTAGAAAAGGAAAGTGGGAAAACACAACACAAGGTCTGAGGGGAATCTTGCGTCGGTCTCTTGTTTTAGCTCGGACTTGGGATTTCCCTTGGTACAAACAGCGAAGGATCTGCTTGCTGGGGCTGTTTCTTGAGAGGAATTCCACATCTAGGTTGGATTCCTGGTCACTTTGGACATTTGTGGCCTTGCTTCTGGCTGTCTGGTGTCAGGGAGTGTGCTGGTGTGCTGTACCTGGGGTTGTTTGGATCCCGGGTGGATTGCGCCGTGTCTGCACAGGTGAAGGGCAAAGACGACCCTGCTGAGTGGCTATTCCTGCCTTCATCTTTCAGAAACTCAGCTCCACAGTAGCAATAAACTTAGTTCAATATTTTTTAATTTTATTTTTTTAATTGGAACCAGGTTTTTTTAGCATTATGGCATATTTTTGTTTCCCCTCTCTGCAGTGTGACTTACATTCATGGCTGGAGCATTTTCAGGTGACTTCCCAACACTGACCGATGCCATCAAGTGTAGCTTGTGCCTCCAGAATCCCAACACAGTTTTCC